GTCCTAAATAAAGTGTCTCCCTGCTATCAGTTCTTCGTCCTATGCTGATCTTTGAGGTTGGATTGGCATATGACAATGTATATTTGAAAAAGATTTAAAGTAATTTATTATAAAGGCCAATATAATAAAAAAAATTTTTTTTAAATCCTTTTTTAATTATAGCATTATATTATTTATTTTTTAAAAAATATAATTTTTTATAGGTAAAAAGTTTTAAAATTGAAAAAACCACTTTTCTTCTTAAACATATGTTTTAAATAATAAGTTTAAGATACTGTTAAAGTTTATTTAACTTTTTAATAACAAAAATTAAGTGATATATTTTTTATAACTAGAAAATACATTGTAATATCAAAATATTATATCAAAATATAAAGTCTTAAATATTATAATTTTTTCATTTCTTTTTATATTCTTCTTATCTGTAATACATATCAAAGTTTTGTGTATTAAATATTGATATTATATGATCAAACTTCATCTAACTATAATAGATAACAAAAGTAACACTACTTTAATCAAGAAGAAAATGACTAGTTCTAATTAAAAATTTTTTAGACTGGTTAAAATTATCATGAAGATATAAAGAGAATGAATAATTATAGAATCAATTTATAGAGAAGTTATTATTAAAACATGTTTGTATTTTAAACCATGTCAATTGCTTAGTACCTATCGGCGCGGGTCATGTGACATGGCGCGAAGTACAGTATCAGGAGGGAATCTGTTGGAAATTTTCATGACGCAACGTTTAGATTGTTAGATATAGCTAATATAAGTAGAAGTAGGATTATATTGGTGAATATAAGTAGTAAAAACCTTTTAACCGATTGTACACACAGCATAATTAATAATTGAAATACTTGTCACCTAAAGAATCCAGTAGTAACCAATATCATGCCTATTGGTAAAGAATTGATCCACAAGAACAAGCAGAAAGAAGAAAAGTTAGATAATTGTCATTCCCACAAGTACCTTTGGTATTGCAAGTGACACGACCCCTATGTACCAGCATAAGGTGAGCCTAGTTCCAGATTGGTAGTGCTAAAAGTACTTATCCGCAGACCAAGCAACCAAGAAACTCTCGAAAGTGGTTTGGAGCATGCTTACCTGGTCACATTATGCATTCCAGCAGCGGCTGAAACAAAAGGCCGAGGAAACAGGTGCGATGATAATTATCCAGGATGAGGCGTACACCTCCAAGACCTCCAGCTATTGTGGGAACATTCAAAACATCGGCGGAAGAAGAATTTATAAATGCAGAAACCGTCATACGGTTATAGACAGAGATGTAAACGGAGCCCGCGGGATCTTCCTACGGGCGTTGCTTGATGGAGCTCATCCATATGTGGATATAGGAATTGATAATCCTTACTTAGCAGCTACTGTATTTCGTTCATGCAATCATGTTTTTCGACCTTGTGAAAATTAACCTCAGGAGCCACGTAAGATTCACAGTGGCATAATAAATATTTTTCCAGTATTTTTAATGTTTATCCTAATAATGTATTGTATTATAGTACATGTCGTGCATAGTAATTGTTAATAAGTGTAAAAATATTTAACGGTAACGTTGAGTTTATTAAAATGATTTCATAATTCTCTTTACAACATTACAAAAAAAAAACAAAAAAATTAGCTAAAGGAATGAACTCAACTATCATAGTTAAAGTCTTTTAAAGTACATTCACTAATGAATCTATTATTTTTATAACATTTAACTTTGTAAGTATTCCCGTGTCCATATTTATTCGGAATTTCAGCGCATCCCGAATGGTATGAAAACTATTTTTGAAGACCGAGTTATTATTTGTTACATTCAATGATAATTTAAGAATGGCATGATGAATAATAAATACCTTCTTCTTTATGAGTTTACCGTTTATGGTCCTTATTTCCAATATGCACAGATGCTTATAACCTAAATTATAATTTGATGAAAAATTTTAGGTCTCTTAATATAAAAAGAAAGTTATTTACATTAATGGGCGATAATTTACCTTCTATGTTCCAGGTGTTAGATTGTACCCAACAAACTTCGGATTTTAATGGATTTTTCTGGTAAGTACATTGAATACTATCGACTTTCTTTTCATGATGTACCGATACCACAAAGGTGGTGAAGAGCAAGGTAATAAAGAAGACAGCTTGTAATCTCATATTTATAAAAGTAAAGGACTTGAGTGCTTGATTAACGAGTTGTAAGGTAGAAAACAAAGATTAAACTGAAGTTCTCGAATTCGAACTAAAGAATCAAACCGAAAAAGGTCCTGCTTATATAAGAAATTTTTTAATAGTTGGCTCAAGGAAGTTCATTATTCTTTCGTTAAAGTAATTATCTCACGTGGAAACAAAGTTTTAAGAAATTTTATCTACAATGGTGTTAGAATAAACAAAGTTTGTTTTTAAACTTTTTTAAATGATCTTCGATGTAAGGATAGTTTTGTCTAAGCGCTTATGTATTTAAGGAATAGTATAATCGAAAAAGGTAAATCGCATCCCTTAAATTAATTAAAGTACACTTTCCAAAAAAGCCATAAGGACGCCTATTATCGGGAATGCTCTATAGTAATATGCTTTTTTATATTTAAATATTATTATAGAAAATAATAAGATATGTACTGTGTTTATAATCTTGTAAGAATTATATTGTTTCTCTAAAACTGGATGTTATACAGTACTAAATATATTTTCTGATCCAGCGAAAAGAAAGTATACTTTTAAAAAAAAAAAAAATTCAAGAAAATCCCAATACAAATAGAAGTTGATTACCGTATTCTAAAGTAAACATTAAATTTCAAAAATAATCCATTGTTAGAGAAAAATACTACAGTACGTATTTAATAATTGTTTGACTTATAGTATTTAAACGAGTAATTTTAGCAAAAATATTTAAGTAATTTATAATTCCATGATGTTTAAAATACGATACTTATTTTAACTTTATCTCTCATTAAATTGTTACAGGAAAAAAAGCTGTCAGCGCTAGTGGCTTAAAATGGCATCCAACAATTGCACATTAAAAGGTTGAAACAAAAGTAATCAACTCTCAACATTATTATTTCTTTTATTTTTTATTGTTTCTTTTCTCTGTGCGTAATATATAAAGAAGCATATAATAAAGTTATATTAATAAAGAAAAAGATATCTCAAACTTAAACAAAAAAAACCTTATTTATTAATTTATATTGTTTAATATATTTCTTTCAAACCATACAAACCTATCAAATCTATATCTTTTTCTACATTACTTTTTTATAAACTTATCTGAACCTCTATATCAAGATACAAGAAATAAAATTGTGATATGAGATTTAGAGACATATAATATGTATTTATTTAACATTTAAAAAGAGAAGATGAATAATAAACAAACAAGTGAAAATTTTTAATTAAAATAACAAATTTTCAAATACATTTACTTATATTTATCAAATTTGAATGCCTTTTTTGATATTATACAATTATCAATTATAATATAATAACAAATTTACTGATTATATTTTCAACATTATATAAAAAATATAAAATATATTTTTAAAACAAAAGTCATGTTTGGAACAATATAAATATATTTTAAAACTAATTACAAAAAATTCGTTTTTTAAAAAATACAAAAATTTTTTTGGGGGATTTTATATAAAATAAAAAAATATGTTTGGTTTTACTTGATAAAAAATTATTTGATTTATATAAAGTTTATAAATATTTATTTGATTAAAATAATTTATAACAATTAATTACTTTGTTTAATTTATTTTTTATTATAAAAAATTATTTTTTTCAAAAAAAAAATATTTAAAAAATTGTTTTTTTATTTATTTTACTTTATTAGTTTTTTTTTTTTTTTGTTTTTTTGAATTATATTAATTAAAATTTATTTAATTATGATTATTTAATATATATATATTTTACTGCGAATAGGCATAAAATGTGAGACTTTATTTACTATTGCATGTATAACTTTTAATGCTACATTACACTAAGTAAGTGGTGCCACACCAAAAGTGGTCCATGAATGGCTTATGCCTATCTATAAACAGCTAAGTTAGGGCAGGTGGGAATATTTTTTTTAATAGTATGGAAGATTTTCAAGAATTTGGTTTTGATTTGGTAAGTTTTTATTGAGTCTTTGTGTAATGTTGTTGTTGTTGTCGTTCCTAACAGGTTAATACCGGTTTGGTTCTTGTTGGATTGGAATATCAGAATTGGATTGGCCGTTGAGATTGTGTAGATCATTTGGAGGGGTTGGGCTAGTTTTGGTTTTTGATTTTGAGAAAATTTTTGAAGTCGTTAAGGTGGCGCAATAAAGCGTACCATATTGTTGTTTGGAAGAGTTTGGTTGAGACAAGTAAGAGAACCCAAAACTTTACTTGAATGTACTTTTAGAAAAATATTGGTGATGTTGAGGATGGTAAGGAGGATGGTTATCATAAAAGTAATAAAGAAAGAGGTGTATAAAGACAAAGTTAAGAAAGAGGACTGCCACGGGCCTTTCTCCATGTAACCAAAGAACAAACAAGACTCCTAAACTTGTTTGACCTTTGACCAGAGGTCCCATCCCAATGCAACAGTGATCTTTAAAGTCCTTATGTCCTTGAGCTTATGACATAGTTGGTATATTAAAGAGAGAGAGAAAAGTACTTCTTTCAAGAAAATTACCATATAAGGAAATTTTCAAGAAATCAGTGATAAACGAGTAAGAGTTTTTATATTTATTCAACTTATATATTTAATAAAAGTTAAAAATATAAAAAATATAAAATATTAAAAAAAACTTTTTTTTATATCTTTATTTATAGAAAATTATTTTTAAAAAAAGTTTTTTTTTTTATGAAATTTTATTTATTCTTAAGAAAAGTATAGATTAAAAAATTAATTTAAAACAATAAGATTTCAAAGTTCAGATTGATTCTTGAAATTTTAACAATAGTATACTTTAAAAAATCTAATAATTAACAATAATATTAAAAAATAACTTGAAATAAAAAAAAAAATAAAAAGACAATTCTTTATATGAAAATCATTTTTATATATAATCTATTTAATAATATATTTTTTTTGAAAAAACAGGTGTGTAACAATTTTCCACTTTTACTGCGCCACATTCCATGTGACTAAAGATTCCTGGGATATCCTGAAATATCTCAAAATACTGTAAAACTTTCTAAAACCTTGTGAAATATCCTGGAACCTTTCAGAATATTATTAATTATTAATTATTAATTATTAATTATTATAATTATTATATTTATTATATTTATTTTTTTGGAAGGATTTTTTCAGTAGGTAAACATCATTTCTTTATTTTGATTTGTATATAACAAGGTATACATTGTTACACTTGATTTTCATCCAAGATCATCACTACCCCTTGCCCGATTTTTACTAGCATTTACCCTTGAAATGTTGTCCATTCTAGAATAATTCTTGTATTACTAT